CTTGCACTTTACATTAAACTCAGTTCACATTTAAGTATATCTTACAAATTTAACCTGTAATAAGTACTCTTTTTTTTTTAAAGTGTTTTTACAAGGGAAATTCTGTGTAAATACTATTATGCAATACTATACTGTCAGGAGGAGTGTCTTAGCAGTGTCAATCACGCTCATGTACGCGCTGATCACACCCCTCTCTTGCACAGCGCACCGTCATTCAAACCAAACTCAAGATTGCCGGTGTGCCACAGCTGTGCTAATGGCGGAGAAACAACCTAAACTGCCAATTTCTTGAGTGGCACCTGCTCATAAAACAAAGACGTCAAACAATGACGAAAATGAAATTAAAAATTAAAATTAGACAGAGCCCATTGACTCAGTGTCAACACTAGCCACGTTACATGCACTGTCACAAATCGCACTGTGCAAAGCCTGCTAATTCGCGGTCTTGTTATGTTGCTAAAATAATATTGTGGCGACCAAACATATAATTTTATGTTGTCCTGTTCCAGCATGACTGCACACCAGTGCGCAAAGCAACGTCCATAAATTTTGGCAGTATAGTGTATTTTAGCTCCTAGTAATAACTTATACCATTTTTGTTAACAATTTTTGAATGTTAACGGCAGTGATCAAAGTGACGTGTTGTTGCAGGCTATGGGAACCGCGTGTGGATAAACCCATCTCAACGGACTGGGGGCGAGTTCATCCAGCCCTCCTCGTTCTCCCGTGGCGGTAATGATTCGAACAGAGGTGGCGGTAATGACTGGAGCAGAGGTGGCGGTAATGACTGGAACAGAGGTGGCGGTAATGACTGGAACCGAGGCAGTGGTAATGATTCGAACAGAGGCGGCGGTAATGACTGGAACCGGGGCAGTGGTAATGATTCGAACAGAGGAGGCGGTAATGACTGGAACAGAGGCGGCGGGGCGTCCAGAGACATCAAGAGCTCCAACTTCAGCTTCAGCAACCAGAACAGATTCTCAGCGCTTGACTCTCAGAGCAACTTTGATAAAGCTGGACGAAACTCAACAGATGACAATGCAAAACATGTGTAAGTGCAGTTTATGCTTATGCATTCTTTAGGGGAATGCTTGCATGCTCAGCACTTCACTCTTTCCACATTTTGTTGTTACAGCCTTATTCCAATATGGGTTAAATTCATTATTTTCCTAAAGATTCTACAAACAATACCCCATAATGACAATGTGAAAGAAGTTTGTTATAAATATTTGCAAATTTATTACAAATAAAAAACTGAAAAAATCACACGTAAGTGTTCAGAGCCATATTAAGATATTTTTGATTAAATCTGAGAACTATCTCACTCCTCCATAAGAGATTGAAACTTGCCAGTCCAGAAAAATTATTAAAGACGTTGTTAAAATAGTCCGAGTGACTACAGCGGCTCAACCTTAAGTTTATCAAGCGACGGGAATACTTTCTGTGTGCAACAGCGCCTCTGGTTTGTACGTCCATTTGTTGTACCTTCCATTCTGGAATAAGGCTATAACATAAAATGTGGAAAAAGTGAAGCGCTGTGAATGATTTTCCGGATGCACTGTATAATTGATACACATTGTGTTTTTATTGCATATTTGAATTTCAGGGAAACAATCCAGACAGACATGGAGGCCTGGCAGACTTCTGGCCAGTGGCCGTTTTCATGTTATTCGGTCCTCAAAGGCCAGTTCTCAGGTCAGTCTGTCGCTCATCACAGTCTGTCAGTCTTTTCAAGCAAATATGAGCTGCTGGGTTTTACAGACAAATGAGAAAATGTCTGACAAACAAACTAAGCTGCATTATTTTGCAGTTCGACAACGGCAGGTTTTTATCTTTATACTTGTTCATCCTATCTTGATATTTTGCAGGGTTTGTCGACTTGTCTCCAGAGGAGCTGAGACAGGAGTATTACTCCTACCAAGCGTCTGGTGACGTACAGCCTTATGTAAGACAACCACTTTACTACTTTAATGAATGAGCAGATTCAAGAGACTTCATTTCCCATGATGCTGAATCTGAGCATTTCATGTAATCCTGTTTCAGGTGAACTCAGTCCAACTGCTGTTCAACCAATGGAGTAGCAGAGTTCAGGAGCTGCGGACCATGAGCAGCTCCACCCAGATGAGTGTGGTAAGATGATGTTTCTCACGGGTTCAAGTAACCCGACATGGGGATCAGGATCAGGTCTTCCTCAGCCTGAAGGGGTTTATTCTGAGATAACAACCGGCTTGATGTATATTAGCCCGCTTATTACACCACGGCTACTTGCCACATAAATAAATAATTAGACACAAAATATTGATCTGAGCTGAAATATTGTATTGGGTCTTTAAACGATCCCTTAATCCCTCAGATCTCAGAGCTGAATAACTCCAGTTCCCAGACGCCACCGCAGGGGTTTGGAACCGCATCATCATCAGCGCCAACACCTGGCTTTGGAGCTGGAGGTTTGTTCTGGGTTTCTTCACAGTAATAAACAGGAAAATAACAGTGTTAACCCTTATGCTGCATTAGGGACATTTTTGGTCTTTTGCAGTTTAATTTCTTTGACCATTTTGGCTGTTTTAATGCAAATGGTATGAAATTTGGCAAAATTGTGACTTTTTGGATACATGTAAAAAATGTGATCCCATTTTGCAAAATCTGTATAACACACACTGTGTAGATCAAATAGTAACACTCAGCACCATAAAGACCAAAAATGGCCCATTGAAGCCCATTAAAACGTTGTTTAAATCTGAGGCTGTCAGTAATACATGAAACATGATTTTTGCACAAACATCCTTTCATTTTGAAGCAAAAGCATTATATTTGCATTATATAGTGTATTCCACCAGATGACGTCACTACATATTTATTCCCTATGGGTGGAAATGCACCTTATTTTAGGCAATAGGCAATGTTTAATAGGTGGCCATTTTTGGTCTCTAACGCGCTAAAGTGGGATTTTTTGCAAAGTGGGACTGTGATCATCCAAATCTAAAGTTTTCTCTTTGCATTTAGTTGAATTTTTGTGTTTTTTCCTCTTATACAAATCGATGGTTTCGCAAACAAAACTGGTAATTAAAGGGTTAAAATCCTGAAATTGAATACATTTTTGGTAGTTATGATGAGGACTGATGCTGGTTAAAAGATTTAACTTGGTAAAAGTGGAAAATAATAATAATATATAATATTTTAGGCAATGTTTAATATGTGGCCATTTTTGGTCCTTAATGCACTCAACGGTGCTAAAAATCTAATGCAGCACAAGGGTTAAATAACACGTTTTTTCTTAAATTTATACATATGTGTGTGTTTTTATATATATATATACACAAAATAATTATACACAGTACACACACTTATATTATGTAAACACAGACTTTTCTTTGGATGCGATTAATCATTGCTCAGCACTAGTTAAAATTAAATCAAATGTTTTGTATTGTTTGGAGCTGATATGCCAGTAAATTTTAATAAAACCTATCAACTCTTTGAAAATAGGAAATACATGTTTTGTTTATCCGATATGTGTTGGTAAACCGCTATATTGTTTTCTCAGGGTTCGGTTCCAGCTCTCAGAGCAGCAGCAGCTTCAGCTTTGCCCCGTCCAAAACTGACTTCGGAGCTTCACATACTACCCAGAATGCACCTGGGTTTGGAGCCGCTGTGTTCAGCACTGCTCAGACGGCACCGGGTTTCGGCAGTCCCGCTCCGTCTGTGAACACCTTTTCTTTTGCGCCACAAGCTGCAGAAAATAAGCCCAGCTCAGCAGCCGGGTTCAGTTTCAAGACGTCCGCGGGAGGATCGGGCTCCGGGTTCGGGACCTCGGCGCCGGTCGCGAGCAGCGGCTTCGGTCAGAGCAGCGGTGTGTTTAGTGGAGCTGCAGATTCTGCTGGGAGTTCACGAGACAGTCTGTTCACGGCCCAGAGTGACCTGACAGCCGAAGAGCTGAAGGAGTTCACAAGCAAACGCTTTACTCTGGGTCAGATCCCTCTCAAACCTCCTCCTGCTGACCTCCTCATGGTCTAACACTGACTCTGGCCTCTCGTCATCTTTTTAATGCTATATTAATAAACATGTTTATGGAGCAAGATAAGATTTTTTGTGTTTTAGTTCAACTACTGAAATTGCATTGTGGGTAAAAATGCTTGGTACCATGATGGTAAATCTCAATGATAGTGCATATTGAGTAATATTAACAAATACAATTCATCTATGTGACAATGAAAAAGTGCATTCGAAGAGCATTTGCTGCGTACAATCCCTTGTTGCTGTGCCGTAGTACATCGGTGGTATCAAAACCATGGTACTGAATGATTCTCTTATTTATATACAAACATATTTACATGATAGTTTAAAGAATACGGTGGTGCTTTTGCAAAATTATGCCAGTACCATGTCCAAAACCCATGAAGTTTTGCAAAAAGCAAGTGCTTTGTTTTCAAAATAAGCCTAAAATGCATAATAATAAACAAAAAATGTAATTAAAAATTAGCTAAAATGTATTTAATATATACACAGTATATTCAGTTCGTGAAATTATTAAATACAATCATAAAATGTTACAAATATTTGTTGAATACGGTTTTATTTATTATTGTTCTCATTTATTTTGATAATGTGGTTGTAAAGTTATGATTTAGTTATTGTTTTGATAATCTGCTTGCTATTTACTGATTTAACATGCTAATAAAGTAATTTAATTACAATTAATTAGCACATATAAATACACGCATATGACTTTTAGCACAGAAGAAAGGTGGAAATATGCAGTTTCCCGGGAAATCCGCACCGACAGCTCAAAAATCAAACGTATTTTTAGGGTAAGTCAAAACCATAAAAAATAGGTCAAAACACGGTTTGTTTTGTTATGTACTTGTTCATTATTTAAATTCTAGTTATTTCGAAGTAGAAAAAAAGATACGCATCTTTAATTTGCGTATCAGGGTCATGTGACAGATTGGTGGACAGTGATTGGTGGAGATCGGTGCAGCGCGCGACGCCCAAAACGCCGGAAGCGGGAAACCCAAACACACACACACACACACTCATGTCTCGACGGGACGCGACAGATGGCGGTTTCAAATATGTATTTGGCATTTTGCGCTCGTTGTACCCAGTCGTGCAGACTCTGGAGGAGTTCGCAGATGGGCTTGTGTTTTCTGATGGACGGAAGCCGGCTCTGCTGGAGGAAAGAGACGGAGCGCGTTTTAAAAATCTAGTCAGAGGACTGATGATATGCGCGTTCACGCCACCGCAGCAGCAGCGCGTGCCCGCACAGGTACCTCAGTCACACTCAACACTTTCTGACAGTTTACACATCAACACAGACAGGGGTTTTAGCAAAGTATTGATCATTTAAAGCATTAGAAACTCGTGTATTAAAGGCTTTATTGGCTCGATTACATGACGGTTCCTTACGAAGTTGAACCATGGTTTTATAATAGTAAAAATGTAGTAAGTAATCATGTTTTTTGGAGGTTGTCTATAATTGGAGATTGATAACTTTGTTTATAACCATAGTTTCACTACAAATACCATGATTATACTATGGTTAGTGTAGCAAAACCAGTATCCTGGCTCTTTCAGGCTTTATAATGGGAGGGAATGGTACCTTTAATGTTGAAGCACAAATAAGCGGATCCATCCATCATAAAAGTAATCCATAAGGCTTCAGTGGGTTAATAAAGGACAAAATTCCATATTTATACAGTCAAATCAATATGTATTTCTCACATGATCAGTTTATTAGCTATAGTTTAGCTAATGGTGATAAACATGAGCAGAACTCAGTTCTCAGATCAGTGGATATTTGACTGGTTTTCGCTGTCTTTCTGTTGGACTCTCACACATGAATTATGTTGAATATCTGTCAGCTGTTAAATTTAGATAATACCAGTTTAGCTCAACCAGTGACCAAGCAATGCTTCATGTTGTTCAGTCTGTGGTGTGAATTATATGTCTTGTTTCAGCTCAGCACGCTTCCGGAGGTTCTGGCGTTCACCCTAAACCACATTAAACGGAAGAAGCTGAGGAACGTCCTGGGATTCGGCTATCAGTGCAATGACGTGTCGGCCTGTTCGGATCCGTTCCGGTTTCACGGAGACGTTTCGCAGACGGCGGCGTACATCAGCACTAGCGAGCTGTGGAAGCGGATCAACCAGCGTCTGGGAACCGAGGTCACGCGACACCTGCTACAGGACTGCGCCGTGTTCGCTACCGTCCCGCCCACGTGTTTGCTTCAGGTGTGCGGAGAGCCCGTGTACGACCGGCTGATCCCGAGCGCATGGTCCGGGTTTTCCCTCAGCCACGTCTCGGCTCAAACACAGAAAAATTCGGGTATCCCATGGAAAACGATCACAAGAGACGCTACCACGAGAACAAGAGATGCGAAGATAAGCGCAAGAGACGCTAAGACGTTCACAAGAGATGCTAAGACGTTCGCAAGACACATTAAGATGAGCAAAAGAGATGTTAAGATGATCGCAAGAGGTGCTAAGACAATCGCAAGAGATGCTAAGACGAGCGTAACAGATGCTAATACGGTCACAACAGATGCTAAGATGTTAACAGTCTCGAAAAAGAGAGCAAGAGATGACGAGAAGCACGATAAACATCCTGTTATGAAGAAGCGAAAAGTGATTACGGATGAATCCGACGGGCCGCCGACCGCAAATCACGGATCTCGGAGCTGGAAGCCCGCGGAGCAACGCCCTCCCCGACCGTCACACTGCGCGATACGCGTCCTAAGCATGCTTTATAATGGGCGGGGCATGAAGAGCTTCCTGCTCAACAGGAAACTGAAAGATGAGGGCGGGGCTAGACGTCTGCAAGGGGCGGATCTCGTTCGGATGATTTTCCTCCAATCAGAGATTAACACGCAGGGTAAACCGAAGAAACTTCCGAAGCGTTTCTTCGCGATGGTTCCCCTGTTTAGCCGACTCTTACGCCAGCACAGGAAGTGCCCGTACGGCTTGTTCCTGAACAGGAAGTGCTCAGAAACTCGAGACGCGCAAGATATGGAGTCGTTGCTCAAATCGCATTTCTCCCCGTACAGAGTGTATCTGTTCGTGAGGGAATGTTTGCTTTACGTTGTTCCGGAGGAACTTTGGGGAACCCAGGAAAATCGGCTTCACTTCCTGTCTAATGTGAAGAACTTCCTGCGTCTTGGGAAATTTGAGCGCCTCCCGTTGGACCAACTGATGTGGAAGATGAAGGTTAAGGCCTGCCATTGGCTGGGACTCAAGAAACGTGTGTCTTGAATGCCTTTATTCGCAACTCTTATTTATTGTAACTTTGGTTGTTTAAAAGCCAAACAGTCTGGATGTTTTTTTGTGTTATGCAGGTTTGTTATTGTTAACTAAAACCAAAACCATAACAAAAAATTTTCATTTCTTGAAATAATTTTTAAAAAAAAACTATATTTCAGCTAGACAAAGTTCATCATTCATTTATTTGAACTACTAAAATTAAACTGAAATATATCTAATTTTTTATTACAAAAATACTCAACAAAATGACAAACTAATTACTAAAAATAAAAAAAATAGTTAATTGCTAATATTAATAAATATTTATTATTATTCGCGTTATTAAAGACAATAAACACTCAGGAATTAAAAACAAACAAATAAAACATTAGAAATCGCAGTAAATAGACGCAACTGAACAAAGATACGATTGAAATAAACCGCGATTTAGGATTTTCAGGAACAGAAACTAATCAAATGTAAAATAACAGCAGTTTATTAATGAAATGTATTACAAATATAGTAACAAAAGTTATTCAGTCGAGATTCTCTGTTGATCAGTGTTATTATAGACGGCAGGAATATTAGGCTTCTGTCACTTTAAGAGCTGCACTGATCCAGTATACTGATAAACACGTGTGAGTCTCTCGCTTGAATGTTTGAAACTCACACTGAATCTACATTTTTATTTTATAACAAGTATCGGATTCCTGACCTCAAGTATTCGATTCCCAACCCTAAGTACAATAATCAACATTTGAAGTGGATCAAAACCTTTCGTCAAAGTTATACATGAATTTTGAACATTTATACCCCTTCTTGTCGTGCCTCATTTTTTCATCCACTTCAAATGTTGCCGACTGTAAATCAGTGTCAATAAAGAGCGTGATGAGGCTTGCAGTGAGTGTGTGTGTGTGTGTAGGTCACTGCGCCAGTGAGCATCGTTACAGAGAGTGGATCTACACTCAGTTGCTGGCGTGGCTGCTCAGCGGGCTGGTGGTGGGCCTGGTCCGAGCGCTCTTCTACGTCACCGAGAGCATGGGACAGAAGCACGCGCTGCGCTTCTACAGGGCGGAGGTCTGGAGCCGACTGCAGGAAATGGCCTTCAGGTGAGCGACAGTCATGTGACTCGCACCACACACGGCGAAAGAAATAAGAAAACGTATCAGAGTAGAAACACTAATGAAGCCTGTTTTTATGACAAATAATTACATTTTTGCTCACTTTTCATTATTGTAAATAAAATTAGTTTTTACTACCATTTATACTATTTATTTATTACAGTATATAGATAAGTTCCTTTAAACTTAGATTTTTTTATTTATTTTGTATATGTGTTAAGTTGAAAATAATGTAAATTTATAAGTTATAAGTAAAAATGTATAGTTAAATTTATTAATTTTCAAAATCAAATCTTGTATAAATATTTATATTAATGTTTGCATATATGAATATATATTCAGCTTAGTTATTTTAAAATGTTTTCTATAAATATTTGCATTGGAAAAATACATTTTATTGTACTACTGGTTATATAGTTTATACTGAATCTAATTAATGCTTAATATTTAAAACTCTGAACCGGATTGTATTACTGCAACGGGTAATATGACCTGTTTTGTTTAATATTATTGTACTCTGAAAACTGTTTAATGAGCTATATTTTTGTCAAATGTTCATCAGTGTGTGAGTGTTTTGATTCTGGTCTTGATCTGGTGTTTGTCAGAGTTCATCTGTCGAAGGGTCAGTGGAGGGCCGTGTCTCCGTCCCAGGCTCTGAAGCTCCCGAAGACCACGGTAACATCCCGAATCCGGTTCATCCCGAAGGTGAGCAGCATGAGGCCCATCACCCGACTCACGGGCAGCAGAGAGTCCCTGCAGGTGCGTTCACTAGCGTTACACGTCTCACTAGCGTTACACATCTCACTAGCGTTACACATCTCTTTAGCGTTACACATCTCACTAGCGTTACACATCTCACTACATCTCACTAGCGTTACACATCTCACTAGCGTTACACATCTCACTAGCGTTACACATCTCACTACATCTCACTAGCGTTACACATCTCACTACATCTCACTAGCGTTACACATCTCACTACATCTCACTAGTGTTACACATCTCACTAGCGTTACACATCTCACTAGCGTTACACATCTCACTAGCGTTACACATCTCACTAGCGTTACACATCTCACTAGCGTTACACATCTCACTAGCGTTACACATCTCACTACATCTCACTAGCGTTACACATCTCACTAGCGTTACACATCTCACTACATCTCACTAGCGTTACACATCTCACTACATCTCACTAGCGTTACACATCTCACTAGCGTTACACATCTCACTACATCTCACTAGTGTTACACATCTCACTAGCGTTACACATCTCACTAGCGTTACACATCTCACTAGCGTTACACATCTCACTACATCTCACTAGTGTTACACATCTCACTAGCGTTACACATCTCACTAGCGTTACACATCTCACTAGCGTTACACATCTCACTAGCGTTACACATCTCACTAGCGTTACACGTCTCACTAGCGTTACACATCTCACTAGCGTTACACGTCTCACTTGCAATTAAATTAAAAATAATTTGTTTTTGTTTTTTTCTACATGTGAAAACAGTGTGGTTGTGTAACGTTCTTTAACGATATATTCCTTCACGTGTCGGTGTTTTCGAGCAGCATTTCCAGAGTTGCGTGCGGGTCCTGCTGAACGTGCTGAGTGTGTGTGTGCGCGAGGCCCCGGGGCCCATGGGCTCCACCGTCTGGGGCTGGCAGGACATTCACAGGGTCCTCGGACGCTTCAGTCCCCAGCAGAAGAGCTCGCCGCGACCTCTCTACTTCGTCAAGGTGAGGACAATCGGGAGAGAAGCTTTAATCCCATGATCCTCTTGTGCGGGACACACTTCCTGAAAAGTAAAGACAGTTATTTATCTTCATTATACAGTATGTATCTACCTATGTAAGTATACACACACACACACACATATATATATATTTATATTAGGGTTGTCAAACGATTAATCGCATCCAAAATAAAAGTTTGTGTTGACATAATAATATATGTGGGTGCACTGTGTATAATTATTTTATATATCTATAAATACACACACATGCTTGTATATATTTAAGAAATATTTTCATGTATATACTGTATATAGATTTATATTATATATAAATATAAATATTTTATATATAAATAATACTTTTTCTTAAATATACATACATGTGTGGGTATTTATAGATATATATATAATTATACACAGTGCACCCACATATATTATCATACTTTGTTCCGTCTTCTCATCATTCTCTGTGTGTGTGTGTGTGTGTGTGTCAGGTGGACGTGAGCGGCGCGTACGACAGTCTTCCTCACCACAAGCTGGTGGAGGTGTTGTCTGAAGTGTTGAGTCCGTTCGAGGAGCAGAGCTTCTTCTTGCGTCAGTACGCGCGCGTGTGGAACGACCCCAACCAGGGGCTCAAGAAACACTTCTGCACGAAGGTGTGTGTGTGTGTGTGTACATGTTTTTCTATCTCAGTGGGGACTTAAACCTGAATGCACACAGACTCATGGGGAATCGTGTCACTGTGGACCGAAATTGAGGAAATAAGCTTATAAATCATAAAGAATTACTTCTTTTTTTTAAATGCAGAAAGTTTTGTGTGTGTTGGGTAGGTTTAGGGGTAGGGTTTGTGTGTGTGTGTGTGTAGGTTTAGGGGTACGTTTAGTGTAAGGGTCAGAATATACAGTTTGTACAGCATAAAAACAATTTTAGTCTATGCAGAGTCCCCACAACGATAGTATACTAGACGTGTGTGTGTGTGTGTGTGTGTGTGTGTGTGTGCGTGTGCTCAGGCTGAGACGTCGGAGCCGCTGAACATGAAGGGGTTTGTGGTGCACGAGCAGGCTAACGGTTCCCTGCGCGACGCTATCCTGGTGGAGCGGGTGAGAGAACGTCTGCTCTGTTATATCATGATGAGTTCAGGTCATGACCCCTGGGCTGTTCGGCATGTTTTATTTCACTTGTGATTAAACAAAGATTAAAGTTCAACAAGTGAAGTTAAGTTTATTCGTTGTATGTTTACATACTCGTATATACGGTGTGTGTATGAAGAGTTCAGATGCAAAAGCCTCTAAATGCCATTTGAAATTTTCTTTTTTTAATGACCATTTTTATCAAGCTTGTATATTTAAGTTCAGTAATTTCACTTAAATAACATTTAATAGGTAATTATCATTGCCACTTAAGTGAAATCACTGAACTTAAATATACAAGTTTGATAAAAATCATCATTAAAGAAGAAAATTTCAAATGGCACTTAGAGGCTTTTGCATCTGAACTCTTCATATAGAAGCTGTGCGATAGTTAATCTGGTAACTATGATCACTCTTAATAGTTATTTCTTCTTTTTTAACTTAAAAATGTTGCAGCCAAATTGGCCAGTGGGTAAAAAAGTTCATGTCAAACCCTGTGTATATACATATATGTGTGTGTGTGTGTGTCAGCACTCGTCTGAGGTCCGAGGTGGAGATGTTTTTCAGTTCTTCCAGAAGATGTTGAGCAGCTACGTCATCCATCATGACAATCAGTGAGTTTACACACACACACACACACACGCATACACTCACTCACTCATCCCTGTTCCTCTGGTTCTTGATGATGACGATAATGAAGAAGATGATGATGATGTCACCGGCGTGTCCTGTGTGTGTGTGTGTGTTCCAGGGTCTTCCGTCAGGTGTGTGGGATTCCTCAGGGCTCGTCGGTGTCGGCTCTGCTGTGTAATCTGTGTTACGGACACATGGAGAACTCTCTGCTGAAGGGCATCGCTAAAGGAGGGTGAGACCTCAGAACAGCACATTACCACAAACTGACACTCATAGACTCTATACATTACATTGCCGGATTCCCGCTCTTTTTAGCCAATACATTTGCTTGACTTTATCCATCATTCCTGATTTGCTGAATGAGGATTTTAGCTTTCAGTTAAAGGAGTAGCTCACTTTTAAAAAAACTTTTGCTGATAATTTACTCGCCCCCGTGTCATCCAAGATGTCCACGTCTTTCTTTCTTCAGTCGAAAAGAAATTAAGGTTTTTGATGAAAACATTCCAGGATTTTCTCCATATAATGGACTTCAATGGGGACCAAACGGTTCAAGGTCCAAAAGAAACTTTCAGTGCAAACTGCAAACTTGTTCAAAGGGCTTTAAACGATTCCAGACGATGAATAAGGGTCTTATCAAGCGAAACGATCGCTCGTTTAATAAATAAATAACAAAGTTTAAGTTTTATAAGCTCAAACGCTCGCCTTGCTCTGTTCTGTAACGCACTCCTGTTCGAACTCGTTCATCAAAATGAACAAATCTTTTTCCGAGTCATTTGGTTCATTCGGCAAAAGAAACGAATGAATTGATTCAGAAAAAGATTTGTTCATTTTGATGAACGAGTTCGAACAGGAGTGCGTTACAAAACAGAGCAAGGCGAACATTTGAGCTTATAAAACTTAAACTTTGTTATTTATTTATTAAACGAGCGATCGTTTCGCTTGATAAGACCCTTATTCATCGTCTGGAATCGTTTAAAGCCCTTTGAACAAGTTTGCAGTTTGCACTGAAAGTTTCTTTTGAACCTTGAACCGTTTGGTCCCCATTGAAGTCCATTATATGGAGAAAATCCTGGAATGTTTTCATCAAAAACCTTTATTTCTTTTCGACTGAAGAAAGAAAGACGTGGACATCTTGGATGACATGGGGGCGAGTAAATTATCAGCAAAAGTTTTTTGAAAAGTGAACTACTCCTTTAACAAGGACATCAGTTAAAAGTTTTAGTTGGCAATAATGACCACTAGGTGTCATGATTTCATTGAGACCTGTGTGTGTGTGTGTTTGCAGGTGTCTCATGAGGCTGGTTGATGATTTTTTGCTCATCACTCCCCATCTGAGTAAAGCCACAGAGTTTCTGACGTACGTCGGCAGTAAAATAGTGGGGTTTTAGGATATATTATTATAAAATATTCACAACATTAATGAAAATGGAAAAATAAAAGTTATTTCAGTGTTAATAAAACCTGTGTGTGTGCCAGGACGCTGTTGGCCGGCGTTCCCGATTACGGCTGTAAGATCAACCCTCAGAAAGTGGCGGTGAACTTCCTGGTGTGTGAAGAGTGGGTGTGTTCGGGCGTGAGTGTGTTCCCGTCCAGCTGTCTGTTCCCCTGGTGCGGTCTGCAGATACACACACACACGCTGGACGTCTACAAGGACTTCTCACGGTGAGGAGCCTCTTCTCTCGCTATCAGCCTGTAAATCAGGGAGGAACATCGGCCTTATCTCTCAGATTACATGTTAGACTGCAGCCATCGTAATCCATACGCGTGTGTCATCATTATAATGCTTGATAGAGTGCACTGAAAAGAGAACGAGTTGAGCTGGAATGCGGTTGCTAAGGTGTTCTGAGTGGTTGCTAAGGTGTTTTCTGGTCAAATCACATCACATCACTGTTACCAAATAGGTTTCCAAACGCTTTCTGCAGTGAACCAAAGACGGTCTCAAAAACACGGTTTGAAATCGCTGGTGTTTCTGACGTCACAAACCACCTTGTAACCAATCAGATCAACCAGTGGATCTCTGAGTGAGTGGAGGCGGGGCTCATTTGCATATTCATAGAATGAGTCAAGGGTGTCGAGTTACATTCAAGATATTTAAAGGCATGAGGATTTTTCTTTATTGGAAAAAAATTGAAATATGTAATTTTGCTGATCAAAGGTGAGTTTTAAGGGGTAAAATTATTGACTACACTGGAATAAACTGGAATAAAACTAATATAAAACAACCTTTTTAGCTGAAATAAAATGATTAAACTCTATATAAACATATAAAAAATGATAAGAACATACAATATAACTAAAAACTAAATGAAATATAAAATAAGCTAATTAAAAATATGAATAAATATCGTAGTTGAAGTCAGAACTTGACCATCAAACTGAAGTATTTAGCATCAAAATGAATTTAAAATAAAAAAAAAAGTCTTCGCTGGATGACTAAACTCTGTATATGCCTACTTCCACACTATATAGTGGGCGAAAAACAGAAGACGAAAAGTCCCGAAGTGGACACTTTACTATCCCATGATGCCACAGGAGAGGACTTGTGATGTGACATGATCATACTATATAGAACATGCTTTCTCAGTGACATCCACATGTAGCATCTGCTATACTGTACACGATTTCAGACGCATCATATGTAAATGATCTCTGCTCCGCCCCCTCTCAGGTATGAGGGCCTATCACTGCGCTACAGCCTGACGCTAGGCTCCGCCCACTCTCCAGCCGCGGTCATGAAGAAGCTGCTGTCCGTCCTCAGTCTCAAGTGTACCGACATCTTTCTGGACCTGCGGGTGAGACACCTTCTGTTCTGGTGACACTGAAACGCTGAAATCTCATTGGCCTACAATCGGTAAGCCCCGCCCACTTAGTTACTGTTGCAACCTTGACGAGTTGCCAGACAGCTGTCAGTGTGAACCCTGTCCCAAGATGTTTTTATACGTTTTGGAGGCAGAAGGACCGTCGAGGAGCAGTAAAGTGGGACTTAAATATGCCATGGAGAGGTCGGTGTATAACATATTTAAAAACAAATATGGTGGGTAACAAGAAGCGAGTGTTTACAGAATGCAAGCGGGAGAAGCTCATGTTACGATCGCAGAAAAACAACATCCAATATTTAGGTTTGTACATTAGCATGGACTCATTTGAATTGTAGCTTAATATGACAACCAGAAAATGAACGTTTTCGTTTATATTGGGATTGAATCCTCAGGGAAGGGGAGGGGCTTACCATTTTGCAGGGAGTTTGATGGGCAGGCGATCTGACCAATCATAATCCGCCATCCGCCGAATCCGCCATTTTTGTCCGACAAAACCGTTAGTAGATCATCGTTTGAGGATTTGAGTGTACTGACGTCTTTTCATTGGCTAAAACAACGTTCCTTCTGATGTTCATCCATGTTTATTTGATGCTGTTTGTGAACTTGAAGGAAGATGATCGGTTCACTAATGGCTTTAACTACCGATATGTCACGACACATTAAAGAGACGCGAAACGCTATTTATTGTTTAAATTTATTTTAAAAATGACCGAATTTCATTATAAATGTGTCAGTGTGTTGTCAGTCTTTCTGCTTCGCGATGTGTGTTTTACTGCATGAGAGAGGCGTGGCTTGTCGGACATATCAACAGTAACTACAGGGGGCGGGTCTCTGCGAATGTCAATTCCGCATATTAAACACCAGATAGGTTCTGATTGGCTGTGATTTTCATAGAGTGCAGCATTAGTTCGTTTTCTCCATAGGGGAATTGATGCATGTAAATACACACACACTTCTGGACCAAACGCCGCTAAAAAAAAAGGAGTGTTTTGATCATTTAAGAACTGAAAAATGAATAATGTGCCAGTCTGACTCTGGTTAATATTGATCTGTGGTGTTAGAGGAGTGTGTGTGTGTGATCTTTTCCCCAGATGAACTCAGTGGAAGCCGTTTACAGGAGCTCGTATAAGCTGATCCTTCTGCAGGCGCTCAGGTACACAACTGAAGATGTGTCCTTTATTCATCAGGGGTGCATCAAATTGATCAAAAGTGATGGGAAAGACATTTATAATGATACAAAAGATTCTGTTTTAAATAAATGCTGAACTTTCTATTCATCAAAGGTTCATGGAAATAAAATGCATCCGTTTGCACACAAATATGAGCTGTTTTCAACATAGATAATAATCATAACTGTGTGTTGATCATCAGATCCTCATATTAGAGTGATTTCTGGAGGATCATGTGACACTGAAGACTGGAGTAATGATGATAAATTCAGGAATAAATGACACTTTACTGAATATTCACATAGAGAACAGATGATTTACACTGGAGTAATATTTAACAGTTTTACAGTATTTCTCATCAGTTGTTGAAGCTGCTCTGTCTTGGTGGCGAAAGTTTAACAAGAACATATATCTGCATAACTGTGTGTGAATCTTTAGTAGGTGAATGATTGTGTGAGCATTAAACTGCAGAACACGACACACAATAACCATCAGCCCAGTGAGTGTGAGAGCAGAATGAACGACGTGTGTGTGTGTGTGTGTTTGCAGGTTTCATGCGTGTGTGAAGAGTTTGCCTTTGGGTCAGAATGTGGAGACAAACCCGTCCTTCTTCCTGAAGATGATCTGGACGATGGCTCGAGCCATGAATAAACTCATCAGACACACAAACACAGGCAAGAGCGCTAGTGACATTAGCGTTAGCATGAAACATTAGTTACGCTAGTCAGAGTTATGACTTTTTTAAATGAAGTCCTGGAAAAGCCTTGAAAACGGCCCTATTTACGAAGAGGTGCTTACTATATATGAAATATTATTTATTTGAAAAAACACGTATACAGTATTTTCAGGCAAAATACCCATCAGACCTTTTCTCCATATAGAGTACACCAACATTATAATACAAAATATTATTTATTGAGCAATAATAGCCATTAAGAACTTGTGTATTTAATGTATATTATTAAATATGTAGCATTTTGTATTCCATATCTGTAATTTAAGTTTAGAAAATACTAAAGATATTGTTTGATAAGTGCCATGTCTGAAAGTCCTCTAGTGTGTGTGTGTGTGTCTCGTATATCGAGTGAAACGCTTCTGGAACTAGACCAGATGTGGGCGGGGCTTGATTGTGTCTGTGGGGTGTTGATTGGCTGGTTGTGGTTTCCCATTGGCTGATGTGGTGTGAGTGACAGGTTTCCCGTTGTCGTCCTCAGGTCTGGTTCTGGGCTCGCAGGACGGAGGAGGCGTTCTCCAGTACGAGGCCGTTCAGATGTTGTTCTGTGTGGCGTTTGAGGTCGTGTTCACGCACAACCGAGGGGTTTATCGCAGTCTGCTTCCTCCTTTACGCAAACGTACGTCTAACTCCTAAACCTGCTGCTTAGTGTGGAATGAGGACACTGTTGCATTATGGGTGCTGAAGCAGTCCTGGAGATACTATTCTAGACTAGGATTTATTCATTTATAAATTTATTAATTTATTATTATTTTTTTTTAATTTGACTAAATAGTATTTTTTTAAACGTAATATCCAATTACTTTTTATTCATTTATTTCAATAAGAAATGTTGGCAAATAATATACACGTAACAAAATTATAAGGATTTTTTTTCGGACCCCCAATATGGTAAAAATGCACATTTTAGAGTTGTGGACAGCCTAAGGCACACCCGTGAGAGATATTAATAGTATTTATATACTATTTTATTATTTATTAATATCGGTTAAAATATGTAGTTTTTATTAATATTGAAATATCTTTTTATTAATTTTTTTTTTTATAAGTTTGTGCTTTTGTTTTGTTTTTTATATCACCATTTTAGGTTTATCTTATTTTACTTTTTCGAAAATGTAATAATTTGATTGTTTTAATTGCATCTTATGCGTATTTTAGTTAATTGCCTCGGGAACATTTTTCAGTTTTTCCATCTAAAACATTTATATTTTATTTCAACTTGATCTTAGTTAACAAAAATGTTTTTAACGGTTGTAGTTTTAGTTGGCGATAATAACCTGGCGTGATTTCAACTTCATGTTCAATAGCCATATTCCTGCAAAAGACACAAACAGGCCTGACTCCACCAATCAGAGACGCCGCCGCTACAGTCGAAACATCAGAGGTTTTAGAGTCTCTTCACACTCCTAAATCACTCATTATGTTTGTTAATGTGTATTTGCTTTTATGCAATGGAAAATTCTTCCAGAAACTTGGACTGCTGGGAAAGTGTTCTTTCGTAACGTTAGCGTTTGTAGATGATAGCCAATGATTTGCTGTCAGGTGTTTTATTAGTGTGTGTGTGTCCTCAGGACGGAGGCATCTTAAGCGTTTACTCCACGGCATCAGACTGGCTCGTGTTCGTCAGGCCTCGACTCCCAGAATCCCTCAGGACTTCACAAGCATCCGTGCGTAGAGCGTGAAGGCGACGCCGTGCTGAACGCTACACACACCTGATCTGTGTGTCCATGCTGTTGGCTCGTCATTAACCCCAGCGAGAGATAAGAGCACTCATGTTTGCATCTGTTTGTGCTTTAAAATGTATATTTCAATACAAAAAAATTAAACCAGCGATTTATATTCAGGTTTTCCTGCAGAACACACTCATTATTTAGTTTAATATGATCATGTGTTCATCTATAGCAGTGATTACAGTCCGTTCACACGTTTAATGTGTGTTTCACCCATTTGACTCTTGAATCAGTGAAAACTCAACAGGTTTAAGAAGAAATGCACGGTTTATATAATCTCATAAAACATGGATTGACAGGTCAGTGTTCAGTCCCATTATTATATAAAGTCAGTGATGGCGGTTCTGCGTTGTGTTTTGCTCATAATTGTGATGTAATCTCCCAGTTGCGCGATAATCTTTGAAACATCTTTATGGAAATGTAAACGAGCTTCCGCACATGATGAGCCTGTTTTATGCGGCTGTAAACTGGTCTCTGGTTACTGACTGACCGCTGTGGGCGAGAGCGTGACGGAGATGTAGAAACTCACTGACAGCTGTGTGTGTGTGTGTGTGACCAGATGCGGGAGTGTGTGATGGTGTTTGTCATCGGTAAAACATTGATCACACTACAATCTCAAACTCACTCTGTTCATCACAAGCATTTATACAATTATACATGATCGCATATATGTAGCACGATTTATACACTATTATATAAACACACACACACACGTATATATACACATGTGCATTATATATGTGTGTGTGTGTATACACTTATAAATTTAAACGTACATGTAGCAACATTTATTAAATATATGTAAACGCACATATAAATGTATACATATATATATATATATAGTGTGTGTATATATATATATGTATACATTTATATATATATATATATCACATCTAATGTTTGTGTAGACATACATATAAATAAAATTTTAAAACACTTAAAAAATCACTTATTAAAAAAAATTAAATCACTGTTTTGAGTTTTGTAAAGATGATATTTACACCTCAGAAATCTTGCGTTTCATATTCTCAGTATCATTCAGCATGCATTGATACGCCAAAATGAGTCTATGTGCATATGATACACACTATAAACCACTTGGCTAGGATTAGTGTGTGTCATATGCATGTAAAAACTCATGTTGCAGGAGATCGGTCTTCTACAGCACTTTATAGGTCTGGATGCGCCCGTCGGCTGTGAAGGCCGGGTTGCTGTGCGGGTTCTGGTTCTTGTTCTGGTGGCTGTACGGGTTCGAGTAACTGTTTCCCGCCTGGGATCCGGTCTGTCGTCTGATGAGTCGGTACACGGCCACGACCGGGATGGAGAGCACAGGAACCGAGCTCAGCAACACACACACCGCAAACACCCCGTCCGAGTACGGCTTCACCTCCGGCTCCGGGAACTTATCCTGCGGGTCGGGTTACAGGGACACATTCATTCTAGTGCTGTGTTCATTTTTATTTTAAATTCATTTTATATTTGCATTTTTATGATTTTAAATTTTTAGTTTTTTTTTATTAATTTTAGGTTTATATGAAGTGTTTAGCATTTTAAGATCATTAAATTTACTTTTATTTTGATTTAATTTTCACCATTTAATTTGTTTTTTATTTTAAATATTCAATTTAATTTCATTTGTATGTTTATTTTGTGTTTTAAAATATTTTTGCATTTTATGCTTTATTTAAAAAAAATACAAGTTGAATTTTATAATAAAATTTTAGTATGTTTTGTATTTTAAAATAATTAAAATAATCTTACAATATTTTATTAATAATAAAATAATTTTACAATTATTGATTTAAATTTTATATTTATGATTAATTGAAGTAAGAATTTAGCATTTTAAAAACAATTGTTATGTTTTTTTGCTGTTTTATTTTTATTGTAATTATTAAATTTTAGCATTTAGCAATTTAAGAAAATTAAATTTGCTTTTTTATGATTTAATTTTATTCATTTACATTTTTTAATTTTATGATTTAATATTGGTAAGTTTTGTTTTTTAATTTTGTGTATTCATTTAATGTTTCTTGTTTTAACTAGTTTATTAAGAGCCACCCAGCCCAAAGTCCACCTCGACCCGGTGACCCGTTTAGCATCTTCTCTCGTGATCGCGGATGGCGGTTCTGTATGGAGCGAAGTATGTGCCTAAACCTCACACACAAACAAAACGTGTTTTACTCACACCCAATGATTCACAAACAAACTCAGTGTGGTTTGTAAATACAAAACATCACTCACAAACTAATGCATATTGTTCTGCAAATAAAAAACGTACCTATCAAACAAATACAGTATGTTTTACATATACATAGAAACGTATTTCTTCAATGACCAAAATATCCTGCAAGTACAAACTAAAATCTTTGAAAGTACAAAACAAAATTCTACACGTACAAAACAAAATTCTACAAGTACAAAGCAAAATTCTACAAGTACAAAGCAAAATTCTACAAGTACAAAGCAAAATTCTACAAGTACAAAACAAAATTCTACAACTACAAAACAGAATTCTACAAGTACGAAAAACTGTCACGTGACTTTTGGCACTATTTTTCCGCGTCCAGGCAGAATCAGATTTTCTCACAAATACAGTGGAACAACTTCCTCTTCTAGAACAGTAGATGGCGCTAAGATAAGGGATCAATTTGCTCGCCTTTGCCCATGGGAAAATGAGCGGTGAACAGGTGTGTTTCTGTCCAACTTTATCTATAATTAACCTTATTGAGGTTTTGGAAAATGTTTATTATATAGACAGAAATCCACATTAGCACTTAGTAGTAACGTACTCCACTCTAGGATAAGGGAATCTATAAGCTGAAAGCTGCCATCATGTTGCTTTTACTTTTTGTAAAAATGTTTCATTTACTGAATGACTCTATTTCTTTCGTTCTCCGTAAATTAATGAGAATTAATTTCATTTAATTGAAAGGGTCCCACTTATTCATTAATTTAGTTGGAATTCAGTCAGCGTAACTGTTAATGTAATAAAATAATGAATGAACAAAACAATATAGGCCTACAGTTGTTTCTTCCTTGTGATGTATTGTCCAAATTATTATTTTGGACAGACAAATGAAACCCTCCTTTCAATTAAATTAAATGGTCTCATTAATGTATGGAGAACGAAAGTAATAGATTTGTTCAGTGAACATAATCACTAATTTAGTCATTTCACACGCGTCTTATGTAGATTATTAGCCTAATATTATTTTTTAAAGCAAAATATGACATAGATTTCAGCCTAGATTCCCCTAGAGAGAGTGAAGTGCTAATAGCGGTAATATGGATTTTTGTCAAGAAATAATTAACATTTTGCAAAAGAAAACCTCAATAAGGTTAATTATATAAAGTAATACAGAAACACACCGTTCACCGCTCACTTTCCTCAGCTGTAGTAGGCAGTGTTGGGAAAACGTATTTCGTTACAGAATAAATGCCCCAAAATGTCATTTGGAACGTATTCCATTACATTAGCTACTCAATCTGAGGGATTACATCCGCATTGAATTGCCTTTTAGAAGTGTAAGAATTGTGGCCATCTAATTCTGTTTACTAAACTGGGCTATTCTGGTGGGTGCGGTGATGCGGTGGTGACGCGTGTAACATGTAGGGTGGCACTGCCAATAAAGCACCTTAAAGCTGTCACAAAGAACCGGCAAAAGATTATGAATAGGCTATGTAAAATATAGCAAGAAGATATTTTAATTGTTTATTAATAAACAAGTGTATCTTTGTCAGTGTGTCGGCTGAATGAAGTTGAGAATGCTGACTCGCGATCTTCGCCGTGAACGCGCCAGGATTAATAATCTAGCCTACAAGATGCGTGTGAAATGACTAAAGTAGTGATTATGTATACACTGAACGAATCTATTACTTTCGTTTTGTTCTTAATAATGAAAACATTTAATTTAATTGAAAGGAGGGTTTCATTTGTCTGTCCAAAATAATAATTTGGACAATACATCACAGGGAAGAAACAACTGTATATTGTTTGATTTGTTCATTCATTATTTTATTACATTAACAGTTACGCTGACTGAATTCCAACAAAATTAATGAATAAGTGGGACCCTTTCAATTAAATGAAATGTTCTCATTAATTTACGGAGAACGAAAGAAATAGAGTCATTCAGTAAATGAAACATTTTTACAAAAAGTAAAAGCAACATGATGTCAGCTTTCAGCTTATAGATTCCCTTATCCTAGAGTGGAGTACGTTACTACTAAGTGCTAATGTGGATTTCTGTCTATATAATAAACATTTTCCAAAACCTCAATAAGGTTAATTATAGATAAAGTTGGACAGAAACACACCTGTTCACCGCTCATTTTCCCATGGGCAAAGGCGAGCAAATTGATCCCTTATCTTAGCGCCATCTACTGTTCTAGAAGAGGAAGTTGTTCCACTGTATTTGTGAGAAAATCTGATTCTGCCTGGACGCGGAAAAATAGTGCCAAAAGTCACGTGACAGTTTTTCGTACTTGTAGAATTCTGTTTTGTAGTTGTAGAATTCTGTTTTGTACTTGTAGAATTTTGTTTTGTACTTGTAGAATTTTGCTTTGTACTTGTAGAATTTTGCTTTGTACTTGTAGAATTTTGTTTTGTACGTGTAGAATTTTGTTTTGTACTTTCAAAGATTTTAGTTTGTACTTGCAGGATATTTTGGTCATTGAAGAAATACGTTTCTATGTATATGTAAAACATACTGTATTTGTTTGATAGGTACGTTTTTTATTTGCAGAACAATATGCATTAGTTTGTGAGTGATGTTTTGTATTTACAAACCACACTGAGTTTGTTTGTGAATCATTGGGTGTGAGTAAAACACGTTTTGTTTGTGTGTGAGGTTTAGGCACATACTTCGCTCCATAGTTCTGTGGTCACTCACATACTGCGGGTTCCAGGCGGGGTAGGTGGGGTGTGTCTGGACCTGCACTGCGACGTAGGCCACCAGCACCACCAGCAGCATCACGGGGCTGATGAACATCCAGCACGCGCGCCAGTACAGGTTCGGCCGCCGTCCCGTCATGAACTCGATGTCATCGCTGAAGCTGGAACACAAACCGTCACACACATCTGATACTGAAACCAGGAGCTCAAATATTCAG